TGCTGAGGGGAGAAGCAGGTGGGTCAGGAGAGGTCTGCCACACCATGTGGGTCACTTCCCTGGCCGGGAATCAAATTCATGCTGCCCTAGCAGTGATGGCTTCATAGTGCTGCTCTCTATCCTGTTGCACCACTATGGAAGACCCAGCCTTCAGTTTTAAGGCAGGAATTTTAAGCAGGGGAGGGAATTTTGCCAACAGAAGTAGGTCTCTTCTCTCAAAGGAACTTGTTGAATCCTTATAAAAATGGTAATATTCTTGATCTGGTGAAGTCTTTCTTAGTAGGGTGTTCCCCTAGTGCACAATGTGGATACCCAAGGTACATGTTCATTAGGGAATCCTTGGCTTCTTGAGACAGAAGTGAAGAAGCCACACCAGCATATTTAGGTTGGTGTTGCAGTAAGACATAATGGTCCAGAAAGGTTTCCCAGGTGACAGGGTGCCGAAGAGACTTATATCTTGTAGTGATCATCAGCAGTCAGAACCTAAAACAGATGCTGCCCTAGTTAACACTGTCAGGAGATTGTTGAAGGAATAAAAGACGCCGGGCTCATCGGTGGGACTTTCAGACACAGTCGTGCTGCCTTATCCTCTGAAATCCACTTTGTCTTTGAGGTTGGGCCTCTGTTGTTATGTCCAGGGCCCCATTGTCCCCTGCGACTCTGCAGAGAACACCTGCTCCCACAGCTTCATCCTTGACCTCATGAAGCTCCTGACTGTCTAGTACAGAGTAAGTAGCAGGAAGTCTAGGTCCTCTGCATAGAGGTAACAGCTCTTAGTTGCTTTTTCTGATTGTGAAAGTAAAGTGTGCTGGTATAAAAATTTAAGCAATATGTAGCAGCATCAAGGAGAGTACAACGAGATAAATGTCATACACATCTTCCCCTGTTATAGCCCCTGTATACCTAGGTGACATTCCTACTCACTAACACAAACATGAGAGGTGGAAGGGGCTGCTGTTTGAGTCACTACTGAAAAAGGTCATAAGTGAATCTACTTAGGATAGGACTCAAATTACCCTAGTTAATAGTGCACAATAGGTGTGACTATGATTTTCTTTTGAAAATTAATAATGACCCGCTCTCCCCTCGTCTGGTAAACAGGAAGGAACCACCATCGACACCAACAAGTTCCGGTGTTCCTTTTACAACAAAAGGGACTTGACTTTTTATATAACCAAAATGTGGTGTTTTAGTGACTTTTTTATAATGTACAGTTTTTGTGAATTTAAATTTCTTTCTTTCTGTATTTTTAGAACCAATCTCATTTTTAATAAGGTGTTAAGGAAAAATAAATCTAGAGGAAAAACTCCAGTTTTTTTCATGTGATGTTCCACAAGTGCAGCAGTAGAAAAGTGTTTGTCAATGAATTAAAACCACATTTGATAGAAAAAAAGTTAAAAATGGAAATAATTCCTAAGTTTTATGTTACTAGAATCTCTTTTCTGAATTCTTTGCCCTTGAAGCCTGTGTATAGTCACTTCTTGGATGGTTTGTTCTCCCTTCTTTGGGTGGTTATCAACCATAGCAATCATGCCTAGTCCTGGTGTAAAACCTTTGCCTGTATCACTTTTATCAACTTCATGAAACTCCATGTCTTGTAAATTTGAAGTTTTGCTTTGTACTATGTAATCAGACTAAATCTGACAATCAACAGACTAGTTGACAAATTAATGAAATCGGTAGGTTAGGAATGGGCTTCATTGAAAATGATGGATGAAGATGCCCTGAGATGCAACTTGAACTGACATTTTTGTGCTTTTGCTGGCTGAGTTACTTAAAGAAGCTGTATCCCCCTTTTCTCTCTTCACAATTCATAGCCTATATATTTCCCACACTTTACAAGGACAATGGAAACATGACCCTGGGCCCCACTTCTAATATACAAAGTGTCAGTGACTTCGTCTTCTTTTCATAATTTCTGGGTATCACCATTCCTGAGGACCCAGGGGTTTTTCTCCCCACATGACTGGAAAACTGAATTTCTTGAGTTGGTCAGGGGGACTCATTAAAAGGCCCACCAGGGACCTTTGGAAGCTATGCTTTAGTAGGCTTCCTGGATATCTTAGGTATAGCTATCTGGGACTAGGCCTGGCCCCGATGGCAGAGGACAAAGGTTCAGGGGACGACCACCAAAGGCAGGTGTTGGGTGTGTGACCGGATTGCACCATGGAAGACAATAGGGAAGAAATGATCTGGCACAACCTTTGTTTTAACCACCTTAAAAACATTACTCTTAAATTACAGAAGGGGACCCTCCCGGTGGCACAACAGCACAGTGAAGCTATTGGAAGCCTCTGCAGCATGCATTTGATCCCCAGCCAGGGAGGTGACCCACATGGTGTAGCAGACCTCTCCTGACCCGCCTGCTGCTCTCCTCAGCAGTGTACTTTGTCCGTCGTCCTGTTCTGCTCCTCATTCTCTGGTGAATCCTCTCACCGCCCTGCACCTCTTGCAGTTCTGTATGCATAAATAAATACATCTTTTTAAAAAATTACAAAAGGGATAGAAACTTCTTTTAAATGATTACAATAGTAAGGCCAAAGGGAGTATCCATTTACCTATCTTCCCCACCACCCCAATTTAGTCTCTCCCTTCTGAGGGACCTACATTTCAGCTTGTATCTTTCTAAACATTAAAGTACTTTTATAGCTGTATATATGTGCTTCTAGAAAAAAACATTATGACCTATTTCTTTTGGCCTAAATGCTGTCACACTATATCTGGTGTTCAGTTTTCTTTTTTACTCAACACCATGTTGAGTTCTCCCCACCCAGGCACAGGACCTTATTGTAGGCAAAGAAGTCATAGTTGGACCCCTCAGTGGAGGGTTAGTAGATATGTTATAAGCTATTGAGATACTGCAGGGTGACGGGAGAAGAAGCCCTGGTGTTGACATGAAGAGACCTTCATTTCAGCCCAGCTGTGTGTATACTTGATGACTTCTGAGGATTGCTAGGCCAGTCTACACTCCACATCCCAGCTGTAAATGGTGACATGAGTGTGGCAGTTTGTGAAAAGGTTTATGAATTTGCGAAGAAGTCAGCAGGGCTTCATACAGAACAAGCTTGACACTGTGCAGACTGAGGCCATGCCCCTAAAGTCATCTTGGTCTCATGGTCGTTACAGATGGAGAGCCGGCGTGACAGCATGCTAGAGACGGCCAGGCACTGTTTCACATCAGCGGCTCACTGCGAGGGTGAAGGCGACGAGGAGGAGTGGCTCATCCACTACATGCTGGGCAAGGTGGCTGAGAAGCAGCAGCAGCCGCCCACTGTCTACCTTCTACACTACAGACAGGCTGGCTACTACCTGCACGAGGAGGCTGCCCGCTACCCAAAGAAGATCCACTACCACAACCCACCTGAGCTGGCCATGGAGGCCCTGGAGGTGACACTGTGCTGGTCTACGGTGGGGAAACAGGGCCAGGGAACATTGCTCCCTCCATCTCCTTGGGAATGGGGCACACGGTCCCAATGACTTCCCTGCAGCTCTCTGGAAACTTCCCTGTGTCCGGCTGCCATGTGCAATTAAACCAAAAACAGTTTTTCCTTTTTAAGGGATACTTACCATCCTTTCTGGGAGAATGAGCATTTTGCTATTAATTTCTCAGATGAAAATTATCCCTGCTCATTGGCACACATAGGTTCTAGCAACCTGACTTGGGTGCTGTGACTCCCAATACCCAGGGCATTCATACACTTCAGATGGCCACAGGTACCCTGGTCCCAAGTTTCTAATGAGACATTTGAGGCCACAGGTGTGTCCAGAGGAGCGAGCTTGACAGCGTTGAGCTAGGGGAGTATTCTGTTCTCTCGACCACAGAGTTGGGGTCTTCCACTGCTCCTCAAATGCAGGGCACTTGCTTGCTGTGATTTACTTCTGTGATTTCTAGAATGTTTCCCTTGGTGCTTTCACTGTTGCTCATGGCAATCTTGTGAAGCAGGTAGGAGGTCACAACCAGCACATTTTTGGGGAAGGAAACTGAGGACACATGAAGGCAGATTCAAAGATCCTTGGTTCCACCCAGGACTCATTTTTTTTTTTTTTTATGCACTCAGTACATTAGTTTCACCTTTCTGAGGCTGAGTGCCCTGCTCTGCCAGTCCCACGTGCCTAGCAAGCTTTTTAGAGTTTGGTTCAGAATCTGTTTGCTTATACTTTGTCTGCCTTCATGTACTATGTTTCTGATTGTAAACATTCATGGTTGAAAATAAACAAGTTAGGACTTACCTGGTGGTACAACAGGTTAGGGTACAGCACTGCAAGCTAGTTGCAGCTGCTTCAGTGTAAGTTTGATTCCCGGCCCCCGAGGTTACCACATGGCGTGGCAGACCTCTCCTGACCTACCTGCTGCTCCCCTCAGCAGTGTACTTCCTCATTCTGCCTATTCTGCTCCCTACTATGTCTCTGGTGAATCCTCTCACTGCCCCTGCACCTCTGGCCTGTACCCCAGTTCTGTATTCGTAAATAAATAAATCTTAAAGAAAAAATAAACGAGTCAAACTTCTGAACTGAGAAGTGTTTAAAATGAAAGGGTGAAGGACCTAGTGATCCCAATCCTCAAAACCTAGAAATCCCTGTTAACAATTTGGGCATTTCCTTATCTTCCTAGATTTCTCCCTATTAACATAGAGATACCTGGTAATATTTTCTTACCATTTAGCAACTTGCCTTTGTCATTGGATAAGAGGTGATGATAAGAGTTGTGGACTTCCATCCCTGTCCTTATCCCCTCTAGTCTGACTGGGTATCTGTTTATTTATCCAGCCCCTTTGCCATGGGCTTGGGCCTTCCCTTCCATTTCTTCTGTGACAGGATGCAGTAAGGGAGCACTTAGGTGAGTATTTCCAAAAGTCATTTAACATTGGGTCACCAAGTCCCATTGCACTAAAAGGTTGTTCTAAGTTAAAAATGTCTTTTCCCTTAATCATGTTAAATCCTTTTTTTTTTTTTAACATTTGCTAACATTTTAAAATAATCTCATTTACAATTTTTTCTACGGCTACAGGCTGCATCCGTAGATGATGAGTTTTGAGAATATATTAAGTGAAAGAAGGGACAAAGGGACAGATATTACATTATTTCACTATGTGAAGTACATAGATGGGAGTATTCATGGGGCCGAAGGGATAGTGGTTACAAGGGACTGGGAAAGGAGAGGGAATGGGGACTTACTGTTTAAAAGGCACAGAGATTCTTTCTGGGATGATGAAAATGGAAAATGGTGAGTGTCACACAACATTATGCATATACTTAATGCCACTGAATTGTATACTTAACCTATTTAAGATGATAACATTTTATGTTACGTATATTTTACCACAATTAAAGAAATCCAGTTAGAAATGACATATCCTTTTAGTGACATTTCATGGGTGATAACGTGGCTATGTTAGGATTCAGAGAGTTTGGGCAGTGGAGTACCTGACTGAGCAGGCACTTCCCAGCAAGGATGCAATAGTTTGAAAAGAAAAGCATGAATATTTTGTAGACAACCAGCTATTTGGCTACAGAGACCAAATTTAAAACTGATTTTTTAATATATTTATATGTTTGCAAAATACTAAATTTAAAAGTAACTGTACAACCAGAAGATCCTGAAAAACTCCTGTCTAACATGAGCTGAGTAAAAGAAATATTTTTTAAATTTACTTATATATTTTTGCATCATTGTTCACTTCTGTACAATATCTGATTTCTCGCCTCAGGTGTTGTTCCCATAACATTCCCACCACAAAGACACCTGTGAACCATCACATAGTCTCTTGATCCCATTATGATCCCTCCCCCCCAACTCCCCTGATGAATGTCTCCAATTTATAGTTTGCTCGATTTGCTTTTTCAAGTAGAAGAAAATTAAAGTACCCATTTTGCTCATTTAAAATGAGTAAATTGTTTAAAATGAGTAAAATAATTACTATATTTTTTAATTAAATAAAATTTTTGTAATGATAAATGAGTGGCTTATAGCAGCTGTTTTGAACCTCATTTGTGGGGTTCATGGTAATGAGCTTGCTGTCCTTTGCATCTTTAGCAGCTTCAGGGGTGCTGTCATTTACAGTCCCAGTCCCATGTGCCTCCCCACCATGGATCTTTCCTTTCTACTTGAGCTCATGTGCCTATTCTTAGAGGTACTTCCGCTGTGGCAATGAGGAGATTGAGGCTCTGAGGACTGGCATGACTTGTTCTAAGTCAGCAGCAAGAGAGAAAGGCCGTTTGGGCCTGGATTCCACTGAGCCTAAGACTCTCACTTGGCACCCCTGGGCCACGCTGAACCCTCGTGTATGGGAGGTGGCCTGGCCTTCAGGAAATTAACTCTGTCTTCCCTCCCTCCTTTTTTTTCTTTGACTTTTGGCCTCTGTGGATGCTTGATAGAACCAGTGAACAGGCAGGGTGATGGCTCTCAGTGCCCAGGGACTTGCAGGTGAGGAACTGAGGTCTTCGATGTGTAGATTGCTCTCTCCCGCATGCCACAACTGACTCTTTGACCAGGCACTTAGCTGGAACATGTGTATATTTTACTTAAAAAAATGACATTTATGTTAAAAATGTAACCCTACACTGGTAAAGACCTCCCTCTGATTCTGAGCCTTCCTTCAAAATACTTTACTTGCCTCTTGTATAAACTTTGCCAATTGAATCTTTACCTTTCCCAAAGGGTAGCCACCTGCACATACCTGGGTGTCTCAGAGCTTTCCAGTATATAAAAGATGGAGCTGTTGGGCCAAGTTCTCTGTGGTCCACAGGTGTGAATAGAGGTAGAGAGGTTCTGGCTCTACCCCTCTGTCTGGGATACTCTCTTGACAGTGTTGCTTGGGTCTGGATTACCAGGCATCTCACCTGGGTCCTTGGTGATATCTCTTAGGACTATCTCTGGGGTGAAGAGAGGCTAGTTAATCCAGGCTATAGTAATGGTGGTCCTCAGCCCTTGTGGCACCTGTTGTGCCATCACGGGTGTATGTGTGCTATAGGTTAAGAGTCCACACTGCATAGCCCACTGGGAAGGTCACACCAAGTCACCTGTGGAGGTGTTTGGGTGTGGTATCATGTTTGCTTAAGGCTAATAGGGGGCAGGAGACAGGACAGACCTAGGTTTAACCTGACATGGCCCTTCTTGACTGTGGGGCCTTAGGCAATCACTTCACACATTTGTAAATGGCTGAATGTGATGAAGAACTGAAGGACAGCATAGACTGTCCGAACTTGCACCCACTGGACAGAGGTTGTGCAGGTGCTGGGGAGAAAAATGGAAATCCACTGACTCATCATATCAAGGAGTCCACAGTTCAGTGGGGAGCAGGCCTAGTGGTGCCATTTTAATAGGTGGCAGGTGATGGGCACAAAAAAGAGCAGCAGTCATCGTGATAAGAGGAGGTGCCCATGAGCAGAAATCAGAGGTACTCTGGTTATCTTACCAGAGTGTGCCTGGTTGCTGGTAAGAATCAGTGCTGGAATGCTGATAGTGCTTGTTCTTTTAATTGTCAGGACTTGCTTTGAATGAATTTTAAGTGAGCTGGGTTAAAAACTAACCCAGAAAAGCCAATGAAAAAGAAAGGGGCTTGTCTTCCTACTCAAGGCTTATTTCCAGTGTGGAATGTGACTGGAGCTGACTCACCCAAGGGAAAACCTCAGTAACTGGGAAGACTGCTGAACTTGAGTATCATTTTTCTAGGTATACTTCAGACTCCATGCTTCCATCCTGAAGCTCCTAGGGAAGGCTGATTCTGGAGTTGGTGCTGAGGTCCTTGTCAGCTTTATGAAGGAGGCTGCAGAAGGACCCTTTGCCAGGGGTGAGGAGAAGAATACTCCCAAAGCTTCAGAAAAGTGAGTAGTACACTCTCACTCAGCAGCTTACCCAGTCAGTATGTACCCCAGGGCAGAGTGTTGTTCAGAGGGTTGCTGCTGCTCATGAAGTCTCTAGAACTCAGCTGGAGTCCCTCAGTGGTTGGGTTGAGATAGTTCTGTTGAACCTAAGAAGAGACTGAGTGTTCAATTCCTGGTCACCTCACACCGTGGTTTTCCCTACTGCCATCCTATCTTGAGGACTACTATTAGGGAGAAGCCAGCTCTTGCTGTCCTCCTGGGCACAGCTCTAGCCAGGGCAGAACACCATAGGAAAGCAGTTTTTACCTCAAAAATTCCTGGTATCCTTTTCCAGAGCTCCTCTCAAGGCAGGGGCCCTCTGACAGACCTGCCTGCAGCCTATTCTCCCAAGAAGCAAAGGAATATGATTTCTTCTGCAATGCCAGATTGCTCTCGGACACTGGGGCCCTGGTGTGGTGTGCTCAGGGCTGGTGGGTCCCGTGACTGCCACTTTATTGTGAGTTTTCTGTGTTGCACAGATTTCTTTCACTCTGGTGTCCTGGGTGAGCTTTAGCTCAACTTGCCCATCTCCGTTCCCCTGCTTCACCAGGTGCTGCACAGGTCTTAGCCAGGTGCCAGAGACTTGCACCTAGCCCCTGTCTTCGAGGCTCACTGGCTTACAGGTTCACAGGTCATGTGATGGACAGAGAGTGCCCAGAAATTAGAGAGATATATATATTTTAATCACATAGAGCCCCAAGGTATAGTCATTTTTTTTTAGTAATTATAGCTTTTGCTTAAAATTTCTTAGAATTATGCAAATAATACATGAATATATTCTAGTTATAGAAAATTCCAACGGTACATGTAAAACATAAAGACTAAAATGTGATAAGCCACTCAGCCTCAAAAGTAGCCATTATTTACAGTTTAGTTGCTTTAAATCATTTTCTGTACATTTCCATACTTGCATGCATACAGATGGACTGTAGGGCTCCTTTTGTTCTGGAAAACAACAAACTTCTGAATGTGCCTTTCCAGGGTTTGTTTTCTGCCTAACCTGGGGTCTAGGACCCAGTCAGAGGTAGTGCCCCCACTCATCTAGAGATTCCTAGTTGTCTGTGGCAGCCTATAGATGCACCGTATTTTCTATTGCCATTTCCATGGACATTTTGGACCCTTTTGCTTCACAGTATTGCCATACATGGACCTGTGTGAACATATAGTAAACTCCGCATTTTGTCTATCCACTTGTCAAGGTTAAATCTGTCAGGCTTTGGTGGCACATAGAAGGGCACTGGCTTAGTGTGAAAGGTACTGGAGTAGGTGCTTCTGAGGATGGGCTGGTCAGCTCCCTCGCAGTCTCCTGGGACCAAGATGCTGCAAGAGCCTACCGTAAAGCATGGTCATGATCCAGCTGGAGGCCAGCGCCTGCATGCATGCTGAGGCAGTGACTCTTTCAGCTTCCTGGAATCCCAGTCAGGCTGTTAACCAAGGAATGGGAGCAGTGGGCCTTGGGAAGAACAAAGGAGGCCCTTAAAGGCAGCAGAGATTTGGCAGCCAGGAATGACACTGTCCAGGCTAACACATGTCCCATTTTCATGTAGTGCAGATTCTGACCTGTACTCCAACCTTTTGCCTAACAGAGAGAAGGCCTGCCTGGTGGATGAGGACTCCCACTCTTCAGCTGGGACATTGCCGGGCCCCGGAGCCTCCCTCCCCTCCTCCTCTGGCCCAGGTCTGACATCCCCACCTTACACAGCCACTCCGATTGACCACGATTACGTCAAATGTAAAAAACCCCACCAGCAGGCGACGCCGGACGGTACAGTCCCTGTTCTCCCTACTGCCAGCCCAGGGCGGCACGCCAATCATGGGGGAGGGTGCTTTGGGCAATGAATTGCTTTGTTTCGGTGAGGGGGGGTGCTGGGTCTGGGGTGACACGGGCAATGTTGTGGTTATTCATTAACCTCATAGACTCACGGTGATTCTGTGCTTCTCAAGACATGCTCAGGGTCGCCACCTGCCAGTTAGCCCACCTGGTTGCTGGGGAGGGGCAGGGACAGCAAGAAACCCCACCTCTACGAGCCAGCATTTTCCCATCTGCAAAGTGGGGGCATTGAAGGGCAATTGGAAAACTTTGGGATAGATTACGGTTGTCCACGGAGTGATAGTGACATCAATGCAGTCAGCTAGGGATGTCTGCATCATGTCTACAATGTTCATACCTCCTTCTGATGGCCATAGGGAGGTTGTTACTGTTGCTGAATCTGTCACCCCTGGGAATCCAAATAAGTTGGTATGGGAGGTCAACTGTGACCTGTGCAAGGCCATCCCACGTGGGATGGGGCAGGTGGCGACCAGTCAACCACATTCCTTACTAACATCAGGAGGTTTGCATGCTGACCTTGTATCTCAGTTTCTTCATGTTCTTCTCACCTTTACAGTAATAATCTGGTGGCAAAATATTTGCTGGAATGAACCTAACAGGTAGACTTAGTGGGCTATCTCTGTGGAGGTAGTGGTGATGACACCCCAAGCTCCACATACACATCACTCATCTCATTAGGGCTCTGGGGAAATGGGCCTTGCTCTGCCTTCTTCAGGGTGGTGGCATCCCCTGACTGCCCATGCATGGGTTTCTAGAGAGCACAGGTGTAGCTTGGTGGGCTCGGCTTGAAAGCAGGCTCAGTGAAGAGGTGTTGAAGGATGAGAAGGTGGCAGTGCTTGATTTCTTTATGGGTAGGTTTTGGTAAACTGAAAGGGAAAGAAACTGGCAGTGCCCCTTCTGGATTCTGTTTGGTTTGTAGTGTGTGTGTGTGTGTGTGTGTGTGTGTGTGTGTGTGTGTGTGTGTGAGAGAGAGAGAGAGAGAGAAGAGAGGCTGCAGAGCTGAGTGTGTGCTGTAGGGTCCATCACGTCCCTCCAGAACCAGCTATTGGTACCAGAGATGGGAGGAGGTGGCCCACCTGATCCTCTGGCATCAATCCTACAGGTGGTTACTAAAGTTCTTCTCCCTTCTTACATAGTTCAAGTTAAATAGCAAAACCATCCTTTACTTATGAGACTATTAAGAAAGCACACTGGAACCCCTGCTCTGAGAATTAATTTTTTTCCCAAGAACTTCCAGTTGGGCATTTAGCACTATGCTTGTTTTCAGGGGAGAGGAAGGCCCCTTATAGTTGTCCACAGGCCTGTGGCCAGCAGCCTTACCCTGGGCCTGCAGGCCCAGGTGACAGGAGCTGAACCTTGCTTTGTTAGCCCAAAGAGCTGCGTATGTCTTACTGGGCAGGCACACGGTGGTAGCAGAGAGTAGGAAGCCAGGATTGCTTCAGAAAAGGGCCATGATGCCACCTGTGCTGCCTCACATGTGTGCGAATGGAGCTGTGGGGGTGCAGAGCATTGGATGAAGGTGCTGATATGACATGTCGTGGGTGCCAGCAGTGGTTGTTCTGGAAGTTTACAGAAGGGGCCATACAGATAGGCTCAGATATAATTTCAATGGCTGTACATTCTTTTTTTTTTTTTTTAGCCAAGATTGTACATTCTTGATGGTTAAGATTTTTTTTCAGTGATTCCTGTCAAATGATGGGGAATCACTGAGATCCCCTGGCCTATCTACGCCCAGCCCCAACCCAGTGTGCTGGGAAGCCCTGTACTGGTTGTGCTGTGCCTGGCTGCATGGTGCATGTAAAAGGCTCACCCTCCTCACTTTGCAGAGAACAGTGTCAGCCACATGAAAATGAGGAGGGCCTGAAGCTAGCCAGGACCTTAGAATGTTAAAGTGGCCCTTTCTGCGGTGCACTACCTGATAGGGAAAGACCATAGCTCTGGCAGGAGCAGCAGGTTGCTGGTGTCCAGGTCCACAGGTAGTATCAAGGGTCTGGAACACCTGCCTTTATTCCTGCCTCCTGTAACCCAGCCCAGGTCACTTGACCAGGTCCGGAGTGAGAATATGTGGCCTCATACTCACATTCAAATCTTCAACCTGAGATCAACGTCAGGTCTCCTGTTGTGTGAGGATGGGACATTGGTGGTTGCTCTAGACTAGACTAGAGCCCATTGACAGCAAGGGTGATGGATGGATTAAGCCCTGACACAGATGAGGAGAAACAGCATGGAGAGATGAAGGGACCACTACTCAAGGTCAGACAGGGAGGCTAGAGAGTGGGTCTTGGAGTCAGGGGAATCTGAGTTCCAGTCCCAGGGTCATCACTTACTTTCTGAGTAATCTTAGCTAAGACACTATTCTCCAAGCTTTAGTTTTCTTACCAGTAGAAAGAAGAGACTGTTTTCCTTAAGGTTATTAAATGAGGTGCTTGCACATTGTAGATGTCTCTCAGATGCAGTCTCCTGGGTCACTGGAGCTGACGTGAAAGTCAGGGGATGTTCAGCAGGAGCAAGCAGGCTCCGACCTCAGTTTGTACCATGACTGTCTACAGCCAGTGGCATGACCTCAGAAGTGTTCTCTAGAGCAGCAGCCCAAGTGAGCCCATGCTTTGGACTCTGGACCATGTCTCCTGCACCATGGAGCCTGTCAGAGGTTCATTGGCCACTAGCTGAACAGGGAGCAAAGTATCAAGGCTGCCCATAGGTGTTGACAATCCCTTCTCAGAGCCTTCTTTCCACTTTAGCATGCCTTTGCCTCAAAATCAGAAATCAACTGAGGTTATTTCTTATTTGGTATAAGATTTAGAAGCAGTTTAGAAAAATAGCTCGAGGTCAGTGACAGTAACTGGACATCTGAGGACGAATGCTTAGTAGGAGCCAGTTTTGCACTTTGAGCAGGCCTCCTCTGCACCCTCGGGCCCCCCACATTAGATTCGGAGCTCTCTGCAGTCCTCCACAACACTGCTTAAAAGCCTTTGTAGTTGGCTCTGAGACACCACCATAACTGGTGTCAAAGCCAGTCCTTCTCAGGATGACTGGGGCAGGAGGTGGAGGGGGGACCCACAGCTGACCTGAGGAAGGGCCCTCTAGCCAAGCTGATAGAGAATGAACTAAATCACAGGTCACTGCTCCTCCTGCCTAATTTCTCCCTTCTGTCCAGCTTGAAATTATTCCAGAATGCTGAATCTTTGGTCCTGAAGCTTCCTGAGGAGAGTAGTTATGTGGGGAGCATGTTGTGATCTTCAGTGTTTTCCCAATGACTGCTCTCTACACATGTTCAAAGATGGCATGCTAAGGCTTTGAACAAAATCTGTTCCCCTTCCCAAGTGCAGCGTGTGTGTGTGTCTGTGTCTGTGTCTGAGTGAGAGAGAGAGAGATAGAATATGTATATAATTTGGGTATCACCACATAGAGCATGTGGCTGTTCCATGCTGGGCTCCAGGGTGAGAGCTCATGGTGTAGTAGCACATTCCCATCCTAACGAGCCCTACAAACTTGCTACCTGCCTTTCCTTTTTTCCTGAGAGAAAGCCAAACTCCAGGTTGCATGGCTAATTGGGGTGGAGCTAAGGGAGAGCTGGAGTCTTTTAAGTCTCCTCCCAGGCCAGGGGTGAGACTAACACTAAAAAGGCCCCTGTGCCAGATGACCTGACATGCAGGCGTTTCCTTGTGTTGGAGTTTCCCTCACTGTGGGAGGTTTGTCAGTGGCAGAACCTAAGAAGCAGGGTCATTACATAGCAGCCTGATCTGTAACTTGACCTGGCCCAGCCGGCCTATAGGTCATGTCCCTTATGTCGTTGTTAAACTCTCCAAGCCCTTTGCTATCTGCCAGATATTCCCCATGAGCTCTCAGAATGAAAGAGCCAGACAAGTCCTCATAGGTCAGGGGCCTAATCCTGTAATCAGTCTGAGGTTGAGCCTTCAGCAGGGTTCTTCAGCTATCCTGTGGCTACGTCCACCCAGGTGTTCACCAGCAGTACACCAGGTTCATGGGGCAATCCTTGCCCCTTCTGCAGGAGAGGCAGGTGTGAATCAGCGAATCACACAGCTAATGGTCAGGTTGCAACCGAAACTGTCCTAGAGAGACCTGGTATGGCTCTTGGTAATGGAAAGGCTTTCCTGAGGAACCAAAGCTTATCCAAGTTCTGAGGACTGTGTTGGCATTTACAGTGAGGGGGTAAAGAGAGAGAACAAACAGGAGCCAAAGAGTGGGAGTTGTGGGGCTGGTGTCCTTAGTTGCAAGATGCCCATTTAACCCCATTTATGGCATGTACAGAGGCTTCTCTGAGCCCCAAGTTATAGGGTGTGGGCTGTGTGGGCCACCCAAGGGAGCCTAAGTGCCTTGTGCCGAGTCCCCGTGTGACCATCCATCCTCACCTGCCATGCTGTCACTGTCTGTGTTTTGTCCTGTCTGTGCTCATCCTTGCCTATTCGCCCATGCTGCCTCCACCAATATTGCCCGTGCTGCCCTTAACCCTGACCACACTCTGTTCTCCAGGCTTTGTCTTTCTGCTTGCACCTGTCACGGCTCGCTTCAGGGGATGGCGCAGACCGCATGCTAACCCACAGTCCGGCTCCCTGCTTCCCCTGTGACCAGGAGCACCTCCACATCCGCTGGTCCTGTGATTCGGAGAGTCTGTGTTTAATGTGCTTGGCTTCTGCCCATCATCCCAGTTCGAATCAGATGCAGATACACTGGTGGCCTCCTCTCACTGCCCACCTGCCCAGCTGGGTGGCTCAGTCCTGTATTTCTATTGCTTTATTCTTTCTTGCTTTAAAAAAATAACAAGGGCTACAGACTCTAAGATACCAATTTATCATTGCAAAGACAAGTGTGTAAAACTGCAAATTATGCACAGTAGTAGAGCCAAGATGCTCTGAGGTGGTCCCTGTGTCGGCACTGCACCCTGTTTCTGGTGTCCAGGCTTGGGGTAGAAA